TAGATATTTTTTAAAGTTTAATGATGTATTTGAATATGTGAATATATGATTACAAAAATCTAATGTTTATTAAAGTCATCAATTCTTATTAATTAAAAAAAATAGAAAAAAAAACCTCCAAAATTTTAATTGTATTTAAGAAAAACAATGTTTTTTTTTTTGTTGACAAATAAAGAACAATGTTATGTCAACGTATTAGTATAACTTTTAATGGCAGCTGGCAGTGGGGATTCAACTAAAAAAATGTTAATATATTAAGAACAAAATTAAAAATTGTAAAATATCATAAATACATCTAACCAAAATAAATAAATAAATAAAAATTGACTTTTGTGTTCATCATTGCCATTATTAATTTGAAAGCATACTTGTCACCATGGAATTGGGCATTGGGCAATTCTGGAACTTTAATTAGCCTTAAAGTTCATGCATTTGACATTTAAAACAAATTATATAATTAAATCTTAATAATTTCATAGCAACCTTTTATTGGATTATCAACATATTGATTTATGATCATCCTTCAATCCAACCATTTCACAAATCTAAAGCATCGGTAATATTAATTAGTCATTAAAATGAATTTCCAACCAAATTGATTCAGAACAAACAATTACAAAGTTCGTTGTATTTACAGATGAATCTGACATTACAAAGTTCGGAGAACGAAGATTTTTGGTACTTTTTTTTTTTTTACAAAGGAGATGAAATCCGAAGAAATTTCCAGTACAATCTACAGTCGAACAATGAATCAATCCCTTTCCTCCATCGGAAGAAAACAAACAAAAAACGGATCACGATCAGAATCACTGCAAGAAATAATAGAGGCAAGAAGGATTATCTGGAATGACAAAGCGGAGTTTCTCAGGGCGATTCTCGATGTTGAAGAAGCACCTACAGAGCGGGCAGGTGAAGTTGTTCCTCTCCATCCACTTCTCGATGCAATTGATATGGAAGACGTGCGCACAATCGGGAAGTTCGTACACGGAATCTTGTCTCGCGAATTCCGTCAAACAGATGGAGCACATGACCTCGTCCTCCGCTGTACCGTCGTTCCTCCGTCGTAGCTCTTCGTATCTTCTCCCGGGCGGAGAAGAGAACCGGAAAACGGTAGCAAGGCTGAGAATGGCTTGCTTGAGGTGAAACAGCGGGATACATACGAGATCGTAGACGAAAATGAGGGGCAATCGCATAAGCGAGTGGAGAAAAATGAGCCCTAACATGGCGGCCGGCGTTCGGCGATTGAAGGAGTGAAGGGGAGCGGAGATCGGAGAGTGGAGAGGATTTGAAAAATGGAAGTTTAAGCGATTGAAGAAGAAGAAATTGTATTATATATTGTCGTTGTTGTTCGCTGCGACTTTCGAAATTTTCAGGTGGTTCTCGTTGAGCGATGATTCCGGCCGGCGACGACCATTTCCGTCGAAGCAGAGCACAAATAAATAGTTGGATTTCTTCAATTTTAGTACTCTAATTTGATTTGATTCAGGGATCACTTTTAGAAAGAAAAAAAAAAACTTATTTTCTTTAAACAAAATATTTGGAGTTTTCTGCGTATTTCTTTATTATTGTTGTTTTCTTTTTATTTATTAATTGTTTATGCTAATTGGTGTAGCAGGTTTTTTCCAACACAATTTTAAATTAAAAATTGAACCGACCTCAAATTTGGAAATCACTCATCTTAACAAAGAGTAATCACGTTTCTCTCCTAAAATAATCTCATTGTTTCTATTCTCATTCTGACCTTTTCAATAATTATTTTATTATTTTTCCTTTCCCTCATTAATGAAATCATGATTTCTTTTAATTAATTGTTTTATATTTTTACTTTTTCTTTGCTTATTTATGCTACGAATAATTTTTGTTAATGTTAATTGATACAATAAAATTGTTAAAAATAATTAATTATTATTCAATTTTATAGCAATCTAATAATATTTTATATTAATGAGGTCTAATAAAAATTATATTAATGTTTTCTTTTGGTGATGTAATTATATTTTTATTATTTGGTTAATATTGATAAATTGTTGTAATAAAACAATTACTATCAATAAAATAAATTAAAATAAATTATTTTTTTATGTTTTTTAATTAATGTATTTATAATTACCTATAATAAATAAATAAAGGTATTCTAATAATTGTCGTGGGTGTATATATATATATATATTTTTTTCTTTGTAAACAACGTCAATAGATTTCTGGTAGCAAATTTAGAAAATTTGTAGTAAATGCAATAAAGAAATAACATTATCATTTCAATTTTTGTCATTCCGATCTTAATAAGTAAACGAGTCTTAAAATTTGTTTTATTAGTTGGCTGTGTGGATATATGTCTTTTTACGTGCTACATTTAGAATTCAAAACCAAATGATTCTTTGTTCCACCACCCTAGAATAAAAAGAAATGAATTTTTTTGAAACATCGGAAAGATCCATTTTAACATTTATACGAATAAAGTATTCTTTAAAAGAGAAAGGAAGAGATTTCACTTATCATTTATTTTTTAAAGAAATAATATATCACAAATATAAAAGTGAAGATTTAAGTCTATATCGTTGAGATAGAAATGTAATTATTGAACTATGATTAGATTAGCAGAACTTTTTTAATCTAACTTTTTGAATTAAGAGATTCAAACTTCCAACTTTTAGCGAGACAAGTAAATGTCTTGATTTTAAAAGTACAAAAATTAAAATGAATCAATTTTTTTAATACAACATATGAGGTTCGAATTAACCCACAACTTTAGTCGGGATATATGTGTTGAACGATGTAAATAAATTAAAACTATAGCCGAAATAGTATTTGAACAAAAAGGAAAAAAAATCATTTTAGAATCTCAATTTAAAATTTTGTTCCACATGTTAAGTAATATATTGGTAAACTAGTCGTAGTTACCAACAAAATATCTAGTTTAATCTAAAATAATAATAATTAATTTATTAATTATAAATTTTATAAAATGATTATTTTAAAATATAATATAATTTATAAATGATATTTTTACCTATTTTAATTTTAACAAGTTTATAACTCGAAATAATATATTTATTAAATGGTTTATAAGGTTATTAAACATTTTAAAGTTTCAAATTAAAATTTAAAAGCAGTTGCTTTGTTTTTGCTCCCCTTCGAATTACAGTTGCAGAATTTGCATTTTCATGAAGATTTTTCCACTGTTCTCCATTCATTTTCTTGGCATTAATTTCTATTGAATGCGAAGAAAGAAGTCAATTCAATCTCTTCTTTCTGCAGCTACGCCTTATGGCGCCATTTCCCCCTTGGCTTTTCTCTATATTTCAGCGCCGGCCAACATGGTAGCAGTAGTATTCTATGGTTCTTCCGGAGTAATGGTTTCGACGACAGAAGCATCCATGAAATGTTCAGAAAGTGCAGACGACTTGAAGGTACGCATAACGAAACCGCCTCTGAAAATTGGGCTTTTACTTGAAAAACATTGGAATTCAAGAGAGGAAGCTCCGCAACATGGTTTCCAAGTACCCTAAAATTCTTACTATATGTCTGAACGGGAAGCTTGTTCTTATGGTCGAGTGCCTTGCAACTCTCGGTAATAAACCCCATGAAGTTGCTTCGGCCATTGCCAAATTTCCTTACGTGCTTTTTCACAGCATGGAAGAGAAGTTGTGCCCGCTTTTGGCTTTCTTTCAGGCATTGAATATCCCTGAGAAGCAGCTTGGCAAGATGATTTTACTCAACCCCAGGCTCGTTAGCTACAGCATTGTGCCGAAGCTTACTGAGATTGTGGACTTTCTTGCTAGTTTTGGCCTTGATAAGGAAGGGATGATTGGCAAAGTTTTGGTAAAATATCCATTTCTTATGGGTTATAGTGTGGATAAAAGGCTACGTCCGACGTTAGAGTTTCTGAAATCTATAGGATTGAAGGATATAGATCTTCAAGCAGTTGCAGTTGGCTACCCTGAAGTTCTATGTAGGGATGCTAACAAAGTTCTGAGACCTAATTTTGATTTCCTGAAGAACTGTGGCTTTCGAGATGCGCAGATAGTAGCTCTGGTGTCTGGTTACCCGCCTATTTTGATTAAGAGCATTAAGTATTTTTTAGAACCGCGGATCAAATTCTTGATAGAAGTTATGGGGAGGAGAATTGAAGAGGTTGCCGGTTATCCAGACTTCTTTCGGCATGGTTTGAAGAAGAGGCTAGAGTTGGGGCACAAAATTTTGGAACGAAACAATATTGACTGTAGTTTGAGTGAAATGCTGGACTGTAATCAATAATCATAAGAAATTTTTAATTTAGTCTGTTAGATTGCCATTCTAAAGGTTATACAATATCATCATGATTCTCCCCATCCCCCTCCCTTATTCTGAATCAAATTAGCTTAATTACGCTATGTAGTTTGATTTTATGATGAGAATTAATTCAATCACTCTATAGTACCATATGTTTCCTGGATGAGGAAATTATGAAGCTCCAGCAGTTGGTTGGACAGTTAGGTACTCTCAAATTGAGCTTTATATGAGCCTCATTCTGCCCGTACTGATTTTTCTTTCTTTCCTTCCTATTTTCCTAATAGTTACATATTTAGATTATTGGTCTCATCTAAGCTTGGAGAGCACAATCATATAGTTGGAACTCTGTCTTCTCCTCTGATCGATCAGTTCGAACATGGGATTTTTGAATACTGGTTGCACGAGTTATCACGTTCATTTCAGGCATTTAAGCAGATATGTCTGTTGATCAAGTTATTGTTATGTATAGAATCCATAATGGTTGGTTCTTTGGACACTATCTCTTCTTTGTGGTGTATAAAGAAAATGTATCAAAGGGCAACTATCTTTCAGTTCCGTTCTTGCTCTATTGTTGCCTTCAAATTGTTTAGACCCTACTACTCTTACGAATATATTTTTGGCTGCTGAGTTGTTATATGGAGTTATTAGAAGTTTTCCCTACGGAGAAGAAATGTTTTTAAATGTGACCAAGATGTAGTCTAGACTTCAGCTGTTCTTGATTCTACTCCCCCGGGCAGGAATAGAGAGAATATGCTTGAAAGTTATAGTAGTTCCTATTCTTCTGCATTGAACAGAATTTTGGTTACTTGATTCTGCACTTTCCCTTTTCACCCTGGCAACAGCCATTTTTCTCAGTAATTTTATTTGCATACACACACAACGCAGTATTTACACTGAGGCTAATGCATGAATAGGCATAGCATATATCACTCACACAGGCAATTATTGGGCCCAAAGATCCTAACCTATATACACTACTCGTAATTTACAAACGGAATAGAGGATACACGACAGCCAACATTAGCATGATTATTTGTCTTCCCTTATTTTACATGGATACGATGCCACCAATTACAGCAGCTATTATGGCTGAAGGGTCCCCCAGGATGGCGGAGATAATGGCACGAACAGCACTACCGGCCATCTGACCACACTTCTTGACTGTTCCTCTTGCGCCAGGATGGTTTTGCAGTGATCCCTTGAGGCTTGGAATGGTAGTATGCATTTGCCTAATCTTATTCTTATCTACTTTGAAATACATGGCTTGCCAGCTTTCCACCAGCAGCTCCTTCACACATGACAGATGAAGGTTATAGGTCTTACACTGCGACCTGTATGACCAACCGAGTCCCTTGCCTCCACAGCTGTGGCACGAGCTTGAGAGCTTGTGACACAGGTATAGATTGTGTTTCCCATCATCAAGGACTTGTGGGAGGTTTGCACAACAAGGGTGGAGATCAAAGTCACAACCCTTGCAGTGGTACACAAATCCATGAACATAAGTTCTACACGCATCGCATACTCGCATTCCTTTGCCCGGGGGATAATAGTATAGTTTAAATTCACATTTTTCATAGAAAGGATGGGTGATTCTGGAAGCACCAGTGGCACAAACCTTGTGCAGGTTGAATCCACATTGCTGGCACTTGTATTTGTAGCCAATGCCAGCTTCTTTGCACCCATCACAGTTGTAGGGGATCTCTGTGTACTCAAGCCTCAGCTTGTGTCGCGGGTGGACCGGGTGAGTTATCTCTTTCTCAATCTTCATGTATTTTGTTCGTTTTTTTTTACTGTTTTTGTGCTTTTCTTCATATATTCACCTTGCAATGACAGATTGTATTTATAAGGAAGTGAATCGGGGGGCTAAGAGATCATCATGATTGGCTTCTTCTGGAATACCTTACAGGTAGATGCTTTGCTTAGCCTTTACGAGCAGAGAATATCTTTATTCAGTTGACATAAGAAATAATTGGTGGGGTTCCAATAAAGCTTTGTATAGAATCAGATACCATCGAAGTATATCTTAAACACATATCTAATGCATCTTAGTAGATCAATATATTCAACACTATATATAGGATTCAAAGTTTTAGCCAACTCTGCCAATTGCTTAATCAACTCTCTGTTCTTGGGAATATGAAGGTATTCTCAAGTTAACTCTCTCTCTCTAGTCTGAATTATTATTTTGTGGATCACAGTGAGCTCCTTTCTTTCTTATTGTTTGAGAAACATTAAAAAGAAAAAGGAAAAAAAAAATCGAAGGATTTTCCCGAAGAACATCGTACGCATCGAGTGAGTGATAGTGGGAAGGAGACTACAATTATTGCTCATTGTTTCAGGGAATGTTTATTGTTATTAACAGGAATGCCATGAAAGGGAAGGGACTGTTGCTGCTCTTCTCCTTAATATTTAAGGCAAATAAAGGCAGCAGTGCCCCAAAGAATCTGAATTACCCAAAGAAAACGAGCTGTCATGTTCAACTGTTTTTGGATTCTAACATTTCCTTGTCAAAACAAAAGGATTGAGCAAGTAGATGGGTGGATTCATCAGTTAGGTTTTGGTGCCTTCCGTAAACAAAACAAAAAGGATGAGAATCTCACTAACTTTTTTTTATTTTTCTTGCAGATACACACATTTCTGGATTGCTCCACTGCTATTATTCAGTTGGTTTGTTGATACTTTTGAATTCTTAGAGCTTGTTTGATATGTAACTTGCTAATTATTTTCAAGAATTGCTCTTTAAAGTATAGTTTATTTGCTAGTTTGTGAGAAAAAAGAGGAATTAAAGATTCAACTGGATACTTATGCCTTTGAAACTACTTGGATGATTAAGAAGCCAATAATTTATAATTTGATATGGTTTTTGTCAAGAGAGAATCTAAGATGTAACAAATGTTATATTTGATTAGAATGCTAAGATTTGACGTTTATTGATAAGACCAGATTGAGTGTTGGGTTGAAGAACCCTTCCCTATCCTAGAAAATAAGTTCTCAAAAGTATTGACATTTTTCCATCGTCCACTTTACAACAAATTGAATGAAATCTGGTACAAAGAAGTGAACACTTTGTTGATGAACGAAGCTTTGTGCCTCACATCTCGAACTTTTCTTCTCTTCTTTTGTATGTTTAGTCCTGCTTTTCATTATGTTTTATAGAGACTTAAAAATTTTCTCTAAGAATGAACATATAAAGATGACTAGTGTATAGCAAACAAGGAAATGAAGGACAAGACTACTCCAATGAGATATAGATTATGTTTAGGTGGGTCAAGTCTTTATTCTCTTGGGACAAGGGAACAACCAAATGCTTAATAAATTCTTAATAAAAATTTATATTTTAATTGAAAAGTTTGTCAAATAAAATAACAACTCAATAGAGTTAAAAAGAAAGCTTCATTCATCCAAATTAATCTTCTGATGGCACATTTGAAATAAATATAATTTAAGAACTCAATAAATACAGCTGAGAAAATTAATTAATCTCTGTATAGTCAATTATTGCTTAATCGTAATAATTAACAAGTAAAGTAATAGATAGACAATTAGCAATAGTAGATTAATAATTAATAGTTCAGCTGGTTATTATTATTATTATTATTATTTATTTTTTAGTTCAGTTCAGCTAGTTATTAATTAAAGGTTAAAAGTTAAAACTTGGAATCTCGCCGTATTTTGAATGCTGTATATTCTAAAAAAAAAGGAAATCATATTATGATTATTAATTAATAAATATTGGAAAATTTGCAAAAACTACCTTAAGATCGCGGGGCACGTGCATAGATGTCACGTTGATGTAGTATTGGGCCTGGCACGTGTAAGATTAGGCCCAGTTGAAAAACAAAACAAACTGCCACGAAAAAAATAATAATAATAAACAACGGAAGTGGCAGCGATCGGAACCCTAGAAAAATCCGGCGAAGGGAATAGTCGATCATCACTATCAAATTCACTGGTACTTCCCGCCCCTCCGAGCGAGCGACCTTTTTGATCGGAAATTTACGCAGCTGGTTTTACTCTTACGAATTAAGGATTGGAAATTTTCTCCCCTCTATCCATTTACCCCAATTTGTTTCAATTTCTTCTTTGATGTTTTGAGCTTCAGCTGTAAAATGCTTCTGGTTTTGCGAATTTCACTTTCTTTTCAGATAGGGGAAGTTTAGGACTCTCAATTGATTCCAAAATCGAAAATTGAAGATTGTACACTGATGGAAAGCCGCGGTTATATCTCTCGAAGGAATTTGAGGGAGATGGAAGTCCTTTAGGAAACCTCTCACAATCATCTTGGAGTTCCCTCCTCCCCTCTTCAATTTCTAAGAAATGAGCAGTGGCCGGCAGCGGACCCATGGGGTTGGGGTTCAGCATGTTCTGGACTATCTGAAACGAGCGCAGGCTGAGAATCCTGCGTTTTATTATGCAGTTCAGGGCGACGATGATCACTCTGGGGGGAATATATTTTGGGCGGATTCATCGTCTAGAATGAATTATACTTACTTTGGCGACACCGTTGTACTGGATACAACATTTAGAACAAACCAGTTTAGGGTGCCTCTTGCTGCCTTTACAGGGTTTAATCATCATGGTCAGCCAGTGTTGTTTGGATGTGCATTAGTTCTTTATGAGTCTGAATCCTCATTCATTTGGCTTTTCCAAACTTGGCTTCAAGCTATGGCTGGACGCCAACCAATTTCTATTACCACTGACCCAGATAGGCTTATTCAAGTTGCTGTTGCACAGGTTCTTCCAGGAACCCGCCATCGTTTTTGCAAGTGGGCTATATTCAGAGAAACACAGGAGAAGTTGTCTCATCTCTGTCAATCTCATCCTACTTTTGAAACTGAATTTAAAAAATGTGTGAATGAGGCTGAGACAATTGACGAATTTGAGTCCTGTTGGGCATCCCTTCTGAATAGATATTACATTATGGATAATGAATGGCTTCAGTTAATGTATAGTGCTCGACAACAGTGGGTACCCGTTTACATGAGAGACACTTTTTTTGGAGAATTGTCAATAAATGAGAGCTATAAAAGTTTGAATTTGTTCTTTGATGGATATGTTACTGCATCCACCACAATACAGATGTTGGTTAGACAGTATGAGAAGGCTATGGCAAGCTGGCATGAAAAAGAATTAAAAGCTGATTACGATACAATTAACTCGCTGCCAGTTTTGAAGACACCATCCCCTATGGAAAAACAAGCTGCAGATCTATATACGAGGAGGATATTCAGGAAGTTCCAAGAGGAATTGGTAGAAACTCTTGCCAATCCTGCAACCAAAATTGATGATACAGGAACAGTTGCCACTTACAGAGTGGCGAAATTTGGGGAAGACCATAAAGCACATGCTGTTAGTTATAATTCGTTTGAGATGAAAGCTAACTGCAGCTGTCAACTTTTTGAATATTCAGGAATAATTTGCAGGCATGTATTAGCAGTTTTTAGGGCAAAAAACGTTCTTACACTTCCTTCACAATATGTATTGAAACGGTGGACCAGAAATGCCAGAAATGGATCTGCAATAGATGACCATAATTCTGAATTACCCAATGAATGTGGAGATTCTACGAGTGTTAGGTATAACAATCTTCGCCAAGAAGCAATCAGATATGTTGAGGAAGGGGCAAAGTCAATTCATAGTTATAATGTGGCTATGGATGCTTTAAAAGAGGCCTCTAGAAAGGTGGCTGCTGTGAAGAATCGGAGCCCTGGAGCTTCAAATGGCGATATTATGGCCAATGGAGGTGTTGGAGCATTGGTTGCAACAGAAGAGGATCAGACAGCAACCTATCAGTCTGTGGTTAGTCTCTTTAGTTTGCAGTCCTTAAACCACTGAATTATTTCGTTATTTATAAATGACCCCCCCCCCCGTTCTCTCCTGTACCTGAGTGATTTAGATTTTTAAACCCAAGAATTGAGAACTGTTTTTAAAAGACATCTAAAGCAGTAGAGTCACATACTAAATTTCTTGAGTTCTTGATTACAAAATGTTGTAGTGTTGGGTGGTAGTCTTTGAGTTTGAATTGGATGAACATGGAGAGTTTGGAGATTCGTTAGCTAATATTTATGATAATTCTTAGGTTTGGATCGCATTCCTTTCCCTTTTCATCTTTTGCTGACGTGCTCCTCCACGCACATATTCCAATAGGTATTGGTAGGTTCTTGTAATCAAAATCAAATTCTTATTCCTTCTTCCGTACTTCATTAATTTTTTTAGGGAGAAACCAAACTTTCTATCAAGAAAAGTACAATTGACCTCTTATGCTAGTTTCTAATATAACTATTGCCCTTCAACCAATATTTGGGCTGCTTCTTTCACCATATTTTAAATTTTAACTTAATTGTTTGAGGCATCTGTTGTGCTGTTTCTCTATGCATTTGTTTAAGGTGAATTAATCAGAAGATTATACTCTTACTATCTCTTGCTCGAGGTTGGAGAGAGTCAACAGATTTGTTAAGCTTTCAGTTAATTAGTTTAAGGTTGTTGGCAGTCATGTGGTCGTTTCTTGTTAGTGAATTAGCTGCTCTGAGTTGTACAAATCAGAGCTAACTGTTCGTATCTGTGCAGTTTTAATATCTAATTTTCTCTCTGAGCTTGTGAAGAGAAAGAGCTAGACATAGCCCTATCGTCTTTTTTCTTGGTAAAAAAGAGAGAAAGAAACACCAAGAAGATAATGAAGTTTGAGGACATAATGCACTTTCTTATTTGTTCTCTGTTTCTGTTGTTTCTTTTCCCAGGAACAGAAGGAGAAGAAAATTCGCGAACTGTCCACCGAGTTGGAAAAAACAAATCAACGTTGTGAAGTGTACAGAGCAAATCTTCTAGCTGTTCTGAGAGATATGGAAGATCAGAAGTTAAAGTTATCAGTGAAGGTCCAAAATGCGAGGCTTAGTTTGAAAGAATGAATGATCATATAACATACAGGAACAAGCAATTCCCCTCCCTATCATTGCCGTCCTCCTTTTGACTTAAGACCATCCTTCCATTGTGTTCAGCTTTTTAATGGTCTTCCTTCTAATGATGGGGAACTGACAGAACGGGTGACCAATGGCATTGAAAGGAACGGCTGAGGGTGTCAACTGCCATGTAAGTGTTCTCAAAATTCTGAATTTTTCCTGAGTGTTGTTATAGAAAACATGCTATGCTAGAGCTGATATCCCACTGTGTGAGTTACAAAGTGGTAGTTGGATCTAGGATGAACTATTATGAACATCTGGCATTGAAGGCTGATATTGACCTAGACTAGGATAATGAAGATGAATGCTGTTGAAAACTGATGACTCAAAAAACTCTTGTTTGAGTGGTTCTTGTAAAGTAATAGAATGTATTGTTTAATGTTTTTGAATTTTCAAGTAATACCATCATCTAATATGCAGTTAGGTCCCATGAAAGTTGAATTATCCTGAAGGTGAAATCAGAAGGTAACTAGTTTTATCTTTTCCATTAAACTCTAGCCAAGATTAAGGATGAGTGAATTTAATCAAACACTCTAATTCAAGACACTAATGTCTAATTACATCTAATTACATCATAATATTTATTAAATTTGAATGAGTGATAATCCAAAATTTGAAACTCTTTAAAACTTCAGAGTTAATATAGAATGTTTTGAATTTCAAGAATGGAGAAGTTTAAGGACTAAAACTATAACTTAGAACTTTTTTTATTTGGGGTAAGTGTATGAGTTACCCTCGCAACCAAAATTTAGTCAGATCAAGCAGTTGTCTTGTGAGATTAGTTCGGGTGTGTACAAACTGGTTCAGACATTCATTGATATATATAGGATTTAATATTCTATGAGTTACCCTAGCAATCAAATTTAGTAGGATCAAATAGTTGTCTTGTGAGATTAACCTAGGTTTTGACAAGTTGGTTCGGACACTCACTGAGATATATATATATTATTATTGTGTATTAAGAACGTTGTGAATTACACATTCAAATAAGACGTGGAATAATGATATTTGTAATTTAAAGTGGAGAAATTGGAATTGATGATGAACACTTCAAAATATTATTTGGTATTTATTTGTGATAAAATAACTATATTAAAAGTTTTCAATATGGTCAGAAAATTTGTGTTTGAATTATTATGTTTCCTTCCACTACCACTTGCCGTACGACAATATCCATTCAAGTTCATATCCTTTTACAAAGGTAGGCAATTCAAAATTAGGATATTCCTCATATCTCAATGGTAAAATGAGGCCTTTTGGGGGCAAAAAAAAAAAAGATCCTTCTAAAAGTATTTTTTATATTAATTTTCAAACCTATTTTTAGTAAATTAAAGATGTTACGCTCATGACTTTAGATGTTAGAACAAGTTTAATTATTTGAATAACTGGGTTGAAAACATATTAAAATGAAAAAAGAGAAATAGCATTTTTTTAATAAAATAATTCACTATATATATTTTTAGTACTCAATCATTTCTTTGAATGTTAGCTTTTACAGTCAATTTTGAGGTACACTAAATTTCTAACCTTATACGCTATCAAGTGACAGTGACACTTCCAACAATCAAAAGGTTCAAAATGGTGATGTTGCTATAATGACGTGCTGCCAATAGTATTAAACTTTTAGGCAAAAAAAATTTTGATTTTCGACTTCTAAGTAGAAAATTACAACTTTTTGTGATCTTTCTACATAATATACTATTATTAACAAGTGCCGATGGTATTGACAGCATTTCTACTTTCTATAAGTATGCAACTTTATTTCAAACATATATTATAATGAAGCTATTCTTTTGTTTGAATGTTTAGTTCCAATATTGTGGGCAATGAAGAAGTACAAATTGTCATAAATGTCCTATTAACATAATAATTCATAAATCTGATATAATTTTAAAACATTATAAATGTGGTTTTTCTAATTAAAGTTCCATCAACGATGAACTTTTAACTCAATTCTCGACTATAAATTCTTACATGGAATAGTAGAAGTGGGGATAATTCTACTTAAATAATGTTAGGGTTGTAAACATCGTAAATTCAACGTATATTTGACAAAGATTTTTTTTCTTTATAATTAGAAGTCTGGAGTTTTCTACAAAACCTCTACTATAATATATAACAAATAGATGATAAATCTCAAGGTCACTTTGATACTTGAATCAATCCAAACGTTGAAGTGTTTATCTAGTAATATTTAAAATTATTACTTAGGGGTGCTTAGATAATAAAGCATATTGGACAAAGAGTTGGAGGTGCTAAATCTTGACTAATTCACTCATGGTTATGGATGAGCAATTCAAAGAGTTTGGGCAATTCAATCATTTATTTTTCCAAAATAGAGAAATTGAACTTTGGAAAATTTGAAACCAATTTCAATCACTTTCTTTAAGGTTAAATTCAAACACAATAATGCACCAAATAAAAGATATTAATGGAAGGTAAGCAAATTGAGACCTTGAATTAGTTGGATGACAAAGGTCTTGAAGACTAATGACAAATGTACTAAAATTTAGAAAGAAAAACTAGTAGCGAAATACACGATGCAAATGACTTTTTCAAAATCTAATGACTTAATTTAGACTAAAACTCTCCCCTAGTTGCTTCAAAATCTCAACCAAATAAGGATTATGCTTGCGTGCACACTCATTTCAATAGTCCGGATTTTGGGTGCAGGTGTACAGAGCCTAGTTTTAAATTACATTATTTGGATATGTTCTATAAGTTGTACTACTTTGTTCTTGACTTCTAAAAATGTTACTAATTTATGATTTTTTTTAAATAGTTTGGATTCACATTTTAGTTCATATTAAGCATTGCTCGGTCTATCTTTTATATAATTTTAAAATTTTAAACCTCTCTTAATAAATAATAGTTTATATTCAAATACTTGCATCATTATTTTTAACTAGAGGGGATAGAGAGGGTGAGAGAGAAATCTATTTTCAATTTAGTTATTATACTTTCATTATAAACTTTTCAATTCTTGCTAATTACCCACTCGAACAATATATATCCTCAATCAAAAGACGGATCTCTAACTATTTGTAGTTAGGTAGAACTCAATAAAAGAGAGAGAGAGATTGGTTCGGTATGGTGTAAGGCTTAACACATGAGGACTTTGTTCAAAACATGAGCTGTTTGCCGTCCCCTCCACACCACACGACACGTCTCCCTTTTCCTTTTTTAAGGAAATTACGAGTGTTTGTTTGTTTCAAACTTAAACTTTCCAATTTTCAACGCAACACATTCTAAAAATTAACCACCATCTCTCTCTAAAACTTGGAACCAATCAATTTGACTCGGTCCTTTAAAAAATGCCAAACAAACAAATTTCACAACTCAAATACACGCATTTGCATACATACACAAACCACAACACAACAAACAATCCATCCTCATCACACATAAATCTTGCCACATTGTAACACTAAACAACTTCCTCATCACATCACACAATTACATAATTCCAGTTACACTTGTTTCAACTTTGAATGAAAGAAAATAAAGAAGATCAGATCAACAAACAAACCTACATATATAGATATAGTATTCATTTAGAAGTAAAAGAAAAAACTAAAAGTACAAAGGGTTTCATTTCAACCTTCTTGTTCTTTGCTTGAAACTGTGTTTGGGTGGGTGGTGTTCGTTTCCCAAGTTCCACGGGCGTGTTTGTTTTTGGTCCATCCATTGATTCAAAACTCACTGCTGCTTTGCCACCGGTCTTGTGGAACAGATGCCTTGAAAAAAAGGTGGACTCTTTTGAGTCTTCTTATGAGGAAGAAGAGTTACTGACATCTCTACTTGATCTATTGTACTTCATATGACTCCTCACTAGCTGCCCTGCTGAAATTGCAGACATGAGAGACAGCTCCCCTGCAAGAACAGAGCCCGCTACAATGGTGGCCAACAGCCTCGCGTTAGATCCTGGGGCTTCTCTGTTTGCCCCTTTGACCCCAAGTAGGTTCAAGCATGCTGACTGAGAAGCAAGCTGGGTCCCTCCTCCAACTGTACCCACCTGCATTTAACAATGAATTTATGGCAACGTGAGGTCCAGAGCTTTCAGTTTCACCCCCATCATAATGGCTGCTAAATTAATGACCTAGAGTCTAGACAATACTGCAATGAAGATGAGTTTTCAATCAAATTTAAAGTAATTCACCTCGATGGAAGGCATGGAGACGGAGACGTGGAGATCCTCGCCATCATTCACGGCTTCCATCATTGTGATACAGTGAGAACTCTCTACGTTCTGTGCGGGATCTTGCCCCGTTGCGATGTAGATGGCTGAAACGATGTTACTGGCGTGGGCGTTGAAGCCCCCAAGAGCTCCGGCCATGGCAGAACCAGCGAGGTTCTTGAGCATGTTGAGCTCAACTAAGGCTTGCACGTTGGTCTTGAGGACCTTCTTCACCACATCACCCTTAATTGTGACCTCGCAAACCACCGACTTACCACGTCCTTCGATCCAGTTCACAGCAGCAGGCTTCTTGTCCGAACAGAAGTTCCCTGATTTTACAACCCAACAAAAGTTTCCATGTTTAGTCGCTAAACTTAGTAGCAATAGTTTAAAATTAGTTCATGTTCGATGTTCCTACAAGATAAATTGCCCAGCAAGCAAATCATTACAGACTAAGAATCAATCTGCTACAAAATTTGCATGCTAAAAGTTCAGTACGAAATTAGGAGAGGGATTTTGGGCACTTACCAGAGATGCCAATTACATCCATGTCAGGGAAGTCGTTCTGGAGAAAATCCAAGACGTTCTGCACGCCTTTGGAGACCATATTCATGCCCATGGCGTCACCAGTACTGCAAGAGAATCTCATGTAGAGGTTCTTGCCGGCAATGGCGCATTTGATGTTCTGTAGCCTGGCAAATCTACTGGACTTGTTAAAAATAGAGGCCAGGGTATCGAAATTAGCCGGATCCTCCACATAGAACTTCAACTCCGCTGCTCTTTTGGCTGTAGCAAACCTCACAACCGGTGCTCTGGTCATCGCATCTCTCAGCAACACGCTGTTAGCCCCACCGGATAACAAAATCGCTTTGCAACCTCTGTTCGTACTCGCAACCAAACAACCCTCAGTTGTGGCCATTGGAACAGAGTACTCCTTCCCGTCTAACAACAGCGGCCCCGCGATTCCCACAGGAATCTGGACGTATCCAATAGGCATCTCGCAGCACTGCCCCAATATCGAACCGTAATCGAAGCCTTCCAAGGGAAGCCCCGAGAGCGACTTCCCCGTCATTCTCTGCAACGCCTCGCGGCGGATAGCGGCGGCTCGTCCACAATCGCCGAGCTTCGACTCGAGCGAATACGACGGCGTGGTCCCGGCCACGACGGATTTTACAACGTCTTCATCATCTTCCGTCAAATTGACGTGAACAGGAAGCGGATCCACCACTTTTGGGACCGAGGGTTTGGGAGAAGCCACAATCGGAGTCACAATTTGTGGAGGAATCGCGCAATCGAGCCCCGCACCACACGGACGTTTCCGAGCATCATCCTTAATCAAAACAACTTCATCATCGTCGTCAGCAGTCCACACATCGGCGGAAGGACGGAATACGGACTGAACAAAGTCGATCCCGAAGAAGGCGAGAAGGTAAATAAAGGAGGCGACAAACGCAATGATGGCGACCATTTCGGAGAGCGTGACGACATGGAGAGGAGTGGAGGAGCGAATCTTCTCACGCCACCGAGTGAGGAGAAAATAGACGACGGAGAAGAACAAGGTGAAGAAAGCGGCATTGGTGAAGTAAAGAGGGAGAGGCAGAACATCAGACGCCTTGGTAGCATCGTCGTCTTCCACCACCATCTTAACCTTGATGGAGGAGTCCGCGGCGGCGAATTTCTTCAGGGGAGAAGACCGGCGGCGGCGGGCGTCCATTGTTAGAAACAAAAACAGTGAAATCAAAAACGCCGGAGCCGAAGGGAAGGCGGAGGAGAGAGTTTATAATTAAGATTAAGCAGTTTTTTCTTCTCTCTCTCGCTCTCTGTGGAAATGGTTAAGTGAATTTTGAACGGCAAGGCGAGGATTGGGGCGTATTTATAGGGTTTTTCTGGTGGGAAAGAGGGGGGAAGTGGGACCCACCCGAACTGAAGACCTTGGCCAGCTCACACGTGGCGAGTGGACGGAAACTTCATTATTCTCTGTGGTTGTGGGTTGTGGGTTGAAAGTTGAGCGTAATCAAGTAAATATAGACAATAAAATCATTTTTCTTTTTTCTTTTTTTTCCCCTCCAAAGCCAATAAATCACATTTTATTTTATTTTATAATTTAATTAGGCTAAGATGAAAGTTTTAGATGGGGATGTGTCCGTAAAACTTTCCATATCTCAATTTCATTGAAATGTGATTGGATATTTCTAGAAAAGTTATATAAAAATAAAAAACTCAAAAAATATTTAAATTAACAAACGTTTCACCATTTCTAAATAAATTAAAAATAATTGAAATTAATATTATGTCTATATCAGTGAAATTTTGTAGATATCTTTTATATTTTGTCAATTTTATTTTGTAACGTTATGAAAATATCGATTTATCTCTCGTGACGATGTCAAATCCATGAATACATAGATATGTCAACAAATATTTAATATCATGACTATGATCAAACTAGCTCAATAATAAATATTACAATATATATGGCTTGAACCCTTGTCATAAAATTATTTTCTAAGCCAAAGAATACATATTATTTATTATTGTCGATAAAAATTACAATAATCAACCWYTAGTAGCTTAGCTCAATTTAATTGGCTCTCTGACCAATAGGTCATGAATTTAAATTATTTTCTAAGCCAAAGAATACATATTATTTATTAATTATTGTCGATAAAAATTACAATAATCGACCATTAGTAGCTTAGCTCAGTCTAATTGGCTTCTATCTCTAACCAAGAGGTCATGAATTTAAATTATTTTCTAAGCCAAAGAATACATATTATTTATTATTGTCGATAAAAATTACAATAATCGACCAATAATAGCTTAGTTCAGCCTAATTAACTTGTGTCTCTAACCAAGAAGTCATGAATTTGAACTAAGCATTAGAATTAKAAATTTATTCTAACCGAGTATCATTTTTAAGGTGATACATGTATTTGGTCTTTTCTCATTTATTGAATTTTTTTTCTAGTACAACATATGGGGATGAAGATTCGAACTCATGACTTTTTTAATTAAAGATATGTATTTTAACCGATAGTTATTAAACTTTTAAAATCTAAATTCTAATGCTTCTTRTAAACTATAGGTCTAGTTATTGTTTGAAAAAGTGATATTTTAGGAATTATATATGAATAATTAATGATGCTACCAAATTTTGTGGCGAAGGCTAAACACGGTTAAGTCTAATGAAAATTTAATGACTATATCAAAGGGGTTTTGAAAGTCAAATATTAAATGGATAAGACTTAAATAATTATTTATAAAAAAAATCAGAACTTGGCATACATAAATTATATTCCACCTTTCAAAAAAAAAATTATATTCCAATCTCTACACACACAAAAAAAAAGAAATTATATTCCAATCTTTCATTTATTATCAATGAAATAATTTTGAATTGATCTTCGAGATGCCAAATCAAATTAAGTTAATTAAGTCCAATTATACAAAATATTTTAATTACAATTATTATTTTTCATGACATCAAAGGAATATAATCAAAATTAAAATTATGATTGACTGGTTGGTTATGTTGTGGTTAGACCATTTCAGATGTTGATCAAGCAAGCTAAAATTTTTAATATATTAAACTGACTTTTCATGCTTATTTTTTTTTGCAAAGGAAAAAGAAACAATTTTAAATTAAAAAGAACTGGAAAAATAATCATTTTAAATTAAATAATTATATAATACAATGAATTTATATATACGGTGGTAGGTGAGGAGATTAATTCCAAAGAATTTCCTTAATGGAAAATTAGTAATAAATATGGGAAGGAAAATAACAAGTAGTCATAAATTATTGTCAATTTGTTGAGAAATTCTCCATTTCAATTGAGAAAGAACTATATTTTTAAAAAACCAAAAATAGTGAGACATGTATGAATGTTTTCCATTAAAAAAATGTTATTTGATTTGTTTAAAAAAAATAATTAGAAGTTAAAAAAAATGAAAGCAAGGAAATTTATTAATAAATAAGTTTAAATTTTAAAAACATAGAACAAAAAATAAAATCGTAGGGATGAGATGATTAATGAAGTTTTTTAGGTAGTTTGAGAAACTCTAACGTGTGGACTTAGACTTAAATTAATAAAAAAATTTCCTTTTTCGAAGAAAAGTTAATGAACTGTTAATTTTTACTATAAATAATAATAATAATGAACGGGTAAAACGAAATAATGAAGAAGACAATGCACAAATTAAGATCATTTGATTGTAAATCAAATTACAATAGTGTTTTTAATTAAAAATGAATTATTGTTATAATTAAATAGTTGTATTAACTTAAAAAACATGAAATAGTTGNGTGCTCATTTACTACTACCTTTGTTTCGTTGTATAGCTAATTTTCAGTAATATTTTAAACTCATATCAAGATTTTAAAAACTAGAAAAAATGGTTTTAAAAATATATTTTTATTCTGTGTATTTGAAGTTTGGTTAAGATTTAATAAGAAGAATAATATATTCCTGATAGTTTCATAAGTTTATTTTTTTAAAATAATAAAAACAAAATTTCAATTAAATGGGACGTAGCGTTTAGACTAAATTTTATTTTAATAGAGGATATTAGGTAGAGAAGTTCATACTAACGAGATTTTATATATTGGTGTTGAGGTCTTAAATTTATGAAAAATGTCACTGGAATATCGATGAGATATGAATATTGATTGGGAAAATTATAAAAATAAAAAAAAAATTATAACAGCAATTTAAATTAATAAATAAGTATTTTACATTTTTTTAAAAATAAGTTTATAATTTTTGTTATTAGTAATATTAATATTATGTATTGACATTGTTGATATTTTTAATACTTCTCGACTTTTTAACAATATAATGGAAATGTTGGTCCACTCTAATGTTGAATCTATAAAATATCAATGAAAATGTCTACGGGCACTAGTTTTGGTTTACTTAGTTAATTCTAGTTTAGATGGGTAATTATGTCCATCCAAATAATGTCCTCTTTATATTAACTATGCTTAGTTTTTGTCAGTTTAGGTTATTTTGATAAACTTTAATTAAGTTTTTTATATGGTTAATTTTTGCCATTCAAATTCTACGGTCTTTGATTATCATTTTTTTTAATTTATTAATTTCTACATTTTTCTTAAATCAAGGGGTCAGTTTGATAGTTTTTTATTTCTAATTATTATAAATTATGTTCCAAGTAAGCTGTCTGGCTTAACATTTATTTTAATGAATATAAGACACTTTTACCAGTTGGAGGAACAAAAATATTATATTTTATTTTGAAGTAGAAGAAATCAAATCGTATACTTTGTGAAATTCAGCGGTGCAATTTCAACACTTCTAAAATTAAAATAAAACAAATAATTTACCACCTCATAAGTCACAATAAATAAATAAATATATATATATATATATATGAAAAGGCCTTGGCTCCATACATCAGTTTTTACTTTGTTTTTCTGAAATTAAATTAAAAAAGAGATCAGGTAGAATCCATTCACTTTTGCTTTTTAATTATCAATATTAGAGTCAAAACGAGCATAGTTCAGTAGTAATTAGTATATACTTCCAATCACAATGTTATCAGTTCAAATCCCTTCCCCAATAATATTGTACTAAAAAAGAATTACCGTTATTAGATACCTATGATTAAACTTAACCAATGTCATTACTATTTTGTGAAACAATGTCGTAACAAATTATTTATAAGTGCTAACATTTTTATATAAATGACATGAGAGTTTAAAGAGTTAGATTGATAGAAAATCGTGAATTTAAATTTATTAAGAGTATTTAGTTTGGTTGAAAAGTAGGGAAGAAAGGAAAAATTAATCCTATTTTAAATTATAAATGATAAATGTAAGTTTAATTAAAAGTTATTAGTAATTTAAATCATGATGAGATATGAAGATTTGAACCTCCCGAAGAAAAACGTATTTATCGCGAGAGATATATTAATTTTTTTAAAAGCATAAGCTAAAGATAAAAATATATATATATATAATTATATTATATGTTAGCCTTTATTTTATTATATATAACACAAATAGATTAATAAAAATGGATCACACTCAAAAAAGTAGGTAGGATACCGTAAGCAGCCAAGTTGTCTTCTACTTAAATATAAAATTTATTTTGTTTTTTTTAATAAAATAACATAATAAGCAACTCATCAATTAAATAAATTATTCAAATTGGTACATCATAACTAGCCAAGATATTAGTAATTTATGAACTAAAAAATAAAAATAAAATAAAAATAGTAATCTCTGGCTTAAATTATAAGTTCCAATCTTTACTCTGTTAAAAAAAATAATAATAATTCAATCTTTACTCCTGATCTAAAATGTAATAACCTAAAAGATATAAGAATATTATTAACCATTTAATGAATAAATGATTTTATTATAATTTAGAAAATTAAAATTATACAATGCATCTTCAAATTATTTGAATACTCATGATTAATAAATGAGAGTGTACAGCAACTTAAATTTTCATATTTTACATGTTTTTTTTTTTTTGAGATATCATATTTCACATGTTAATTACATGAAGAAAAGGTTTACTAATAATTATTAATTACATAGCTTTGAGCATTAAGCATAAAAGTTTTTTTTTTTACTTTTAAAAAATGTTTTAATACCTTCAAGGGCATAATAAGAAGTATTCTTAGGAAGGTGTAAATTTTTACTAATTGACTTTTTATATATAAAACATTTTAATTCTAAAAAATTAGGGGAGCAAATTAATAAATAATAAAAAAAACTACTTGATACTATATAAATATGAATGGTAAATTTGAATCTCTTTTTGTTTTTTGAACACTTGTAATATTATTTTATGAAGAAA